TAGGAATATATGGCACAGTACAGTGTTTGCAGTCCAGACCTCTTAACCCCTTCATGCCGGGATGCGGGTAGAGCCGCCGTAAAAATCGAGATCCTCAGCCGCCTTTTCAGCTATTTTTCTCGGCCCACACTCGAGCGAACACGGTGAAAGAAGGCAGAGCCTGGCTCTTGTATATATGGTGATTGGTCTTTGTGCGTAGCCCAGAAATGAAAAGACTGATTTTGCATCATAATCACGAGCTTCACAATAGTAAGCACTTTGAAAAGAGGCAACGGAAATGTGGAAGGGTGAGTTGAGCCGCATGCCACCGAAAATCAGCCTTTTCACCGTGTAATTCAAAGCGTGCACAGCACGCAGGGCCACAAACCGAGAATTTGCAGTTTGGCAGGTGGCCTTCATGGCCAAGCGAGGCTGGAATTCTTGGAGTCGGCTTTCGGGAAGAAATTCCCGTCATCAAGGGGTTAAGCCCATCACAAGAGCCCAGAAGATGTCTAGTTGGAATTCAAGTCACCAGCTGTTCAAATGAACTGCAACAAAAGCATTCCTTTGTCATTGTTCACCCTGTCACTGGTGACTGGTCTTATGAATGGTCTGGTGCATGGTCTGGTGTCTGGTCTTCAGTGCTGGCTCAGCGTTACCTAGTCTGCAAGGGAACAAGAGTCGGAGTACTTTCACATGGCAGTGACAGTCTTTTTGTGGGAACTCACCACGTGAGTGCAGTTTTATGGTCATTTAGCACAAGCCGAGCTGAGCATACGTGACCATTTTCTATTTGGAATGTATGGTCTTTGTGTGTGTGCCACACACCCTGTTGAAACCATTCACACCAACCTGTCTCTTCCATGCCAGTTAGGGGGTGCTTCTACTCAGTGGATTGAGTCACAGACTGGTCAGAGACAAGGCCACACATCAAAATTGAAAATTTGAAATATTGAAACAAACACCGTCCTCGTTTCAAATTTGCCTATGTAATTTTATTATGCAAAAATATTTCACGTGAGCAATTCTGTTGTCTTGTTTAGAATCTGTCGATGAACCAACTCATGGAGTGGAAACATTTCTCTGGACCATTGAGCTCAACTTTTGAGGTAAGGAAAACTTGAACAAAACTAGCTTTTCATTATTTCACCCTACGAACGGAATGCTGGAGTTTTCCAAAATGTGCAATTTCAGATCGGGTTTGCAGAAATCAGTTTCACGTTTGATAGTAAATACGGTCATTTACTGTTTTTATCTGTCGAGACAGGTGCTTCATTCCTGAAAGAACTTCAAATGTGTTTCTAACACAGAGAAACAACTTGACCCTAACCGTATCCCTGATCATTTTTTATCTTTTTGTTTTGTATTCAGGATGATCATTTGCTCAGAGCAGGGAGTCAGATCACATTTGCCTTTCAAAACAAAACTAATGACAAGTCAACAGATGAATAGACAAGCCAATCTTCCAAACCACTGAGACTTGGATTCCAGTCAGTTGCTTCAGGAAGGTGTACGGAGTGCCAGAATGATACCTCTAAGTTCATAGTAAAATATTGTCCAGAATCTTATTCCATTCAGACATACTGAAGGCTGGAATCAGACGACAGGCGTTTTTGGTCAAATTTTGAATGACCATTCCGTGAGCCTAATAATCTACAGTACATTAAAAATAAAACCAACTGAGAAAAAGATTATCTTGGTGAAAGGTGCACATTATAAAACACCCAGCTTTGTGCCTCCTGGCTTAAATCGAGGGAGGGGCTCTCACATTTGAAGACAAGAAACCTGCATTTAAAAATAGTTTAAAAGTATGTTATGGTAATGCAAATGGAACATTCTTACAGTATTCATAAAAACTAATTCTGAAAATGAAAAAGTATTCTTTGTACCACTATTTATGTAGAAAAGTTAATTGAAATTAAATGTTTAAGTATAAAAGGCAAAAGTTATAGTCCAATTTTTTCCTGAGCCACAATGGACATGAAAAAGTTCAACAGTTTGAGTTGGAGAGAAGGTTGTAAAAGAGAAACTTGATCTATTTTAATTGTCCATGAAATGCAGAATCACCGTCACAGTTCGTCAAAGTTTTGCCCGGATTCAAACAAGCCCTGGCCCTCCTGTGGTATGTTTGGGTCAGCCCTTGGCAATTCCCTGGCAGAGGAGGTTATTCCTGATAATGGCATCCACTGTCTTGGAAGGAAGGCCGTTCACTTTCTTTAGATCACTGATCTGTGGACAGAAAATATTTTTCATACAGGTTTTTACAACACGTGCAATGGCTGTGATTTGTGCTTGACGCAGGTTTAACCTAAAATAGTCTGGGCAGCCTGACTACTGGACATGGACCTGCCATCTGGACAATGTTTTGTATCCATTAGACTTAGGATGACAACAGGACGTTCATTTGTATGTAAGGCAATATGTGAATCACTTGACTGGGGTTTAACATTACACGTCTCTATCAAAACTGGCTTTGCCTATTACCATTGGTTCCTTAGTAATTTCAAGCCATTTCCAAGAAATTCTGACGGCCTAAAAAGAGCTTTTCTCAAAGGCAGGTCTGGTTTGCTAGAAAAATGAAGAGTGATTCTCAACTGATGTCATCACCGAGGCAACGTTTTAGATAGAGAAAACTCAAATATATAAAATGTATCCTTGGTAATTCCTCTTCACTGAATGGCCCGTTGTGAGAAAAAGAAACCAGTTATGGAGTTCATTAACAGAAAATCACTGCTAAGCAGATTTACAGTATTGAAGTGAATACGTCACGTGCACAGTCAGTGTGTAAAGGGCATTAGCGCGAGAACCAGCACTTGAACCAGCAACATGCGCGTGTACTCCATTCGTTTGCACTGCACTTTCTGGTTCACAGTGACGTCACTCTTCGGTACTCTATTCAACTGATGTCCTGGGACTGTATAATCAGGCTCTGGTTCACACAGGAATCTACTTAGCACAGCAAACTTTTGCTTAGCAAAAAGGGAAACCAGCCAAGGTATACTGTTACCCAACAGGCTAAGCTGATTTTTGCTCTGTGTGCAATTCTGGCTAAGCAACATTTGCCTGGTAAGCAGGTCTGTGGCACTGCATCTCGGCACTCACAGTTGTGAATTCCCCAAACATCTGTCGCCAGCTGCGGATGAGCTGAGCTCTCTTCTCCCCGACGCTCTGCAGGGATTTCAGCTGCTTGACAGAGCCCGTGTTCAACAGGTGAATGATCTCGGCAGCTGTCAGACAAGGAGAATACTTTCATTAAATCAGGCATTAATTTGACTTATTGATCATGGCGTGTCTGACACCGCCCCCTTCCCTGTGGGTTCATCTGTGTTAAAAAAAGGCAGGTCTGGGTACGTTGGGGTTCAGAAATAATTAGAATAATTTCAGAGTGAAAGATGTTTTGAGAATGTCTGGAAACATTTCCAAACAATGCCTCAACAAATTGGTGGAGATGCTACTGATGGTATTTAAATTTGTAAACTCGAAAATGTTTTAATGTTATTTCCAAATAAAAGTGATGACCTATCAAGATCACATTTCCGGTCCTGTGACAAGGTTAGATATGAAACACTTGGTTATGGCTCAATGTAATGCATGCATGTATGGGCAATGTATGAAGCCATATGCTAACAGCTTCCATTGGCGTTTGCATTATTTCCAGCCACAGCCAAATGATTCAGACATGGCTGACTCTCTGGAATGATCAGTTTTTGTTTTGCAAGGTGCCCCAATGTGTAAGTTACGACACCTTCACCACTAGAGGGCCTAGTTTGTGCTGATTGGCCCTTCACTTACTGTGTTTGGCTTGTAGCTCTGGGTTGGGCTGAAGCTGGTGAGCGTTCTCCTTCAAACTCTTCCCTTTAGGGTCGTCACACGTCTTGATCTTCATAAACTGCACATCTGGGGCGCGTCTCTTCAGCAAGTTGGACTTGGTTGTGGGTTGTGGGGCAAAATTATGTTGTGTGGACACTGACAAGTTTAATATACAGAAACTCATTAAAAACTCATGTATCTGGTTTCTAACTTGCATAAACCATGTAAGTATTGAAATATACATAACCTTTTAACAACCTGACAGTTACCCAAAAAGTCTGAGAGATTTTACATTTAATTGGAACGAGCAGAAATGAGCATGATAGGATTTCACAATACTGATGTTTAATGATCAGTTTTGGGAATGGACTCTTGATTTTCTGAGGATTATTTTTTTTTTGAGAAAGGAAGAACAAGCGAACAATACAGGAAGACAAAATTCTCATGCAATAAAGATGAGTCAAAAATTTAGTATTTAGCATAAGAAAGAGAGCGGCACAAATTTCATTTCCACTTCAAGTCTTTGGTATGGCTTCACCCTAAAAGAGCTGGGGGAGGGGGCAGATTCCATCCCCCTCAACATTTTTTCTGATGTCGCCGCCGTGCTTTTTTTTTTCAGGAGTTGACCCCATAGGAGTTTTAGAGTAACTCTTTGCAATCATTTTGACACCATTTTTGCAACAATTTAACATATCATTCTTGCATAGCACGCATTTTTACGGGTCGGTTAAAATTGTATACTTTTTGCACTGCGCTGCTCAATGCGGTGTACTGGCACGCATGTAGCCATGAAATTAAAATGACCACAACAACCAAACCATATGTCTGATTGAGTTCAGACTTCACATTTGTAATGATAAGGAGTGTCTGTATATGCATGCCAAGCTTATGGTAGGGGGTGGAATCCCAACCCCCCCCAGCTATGAGATGGGCCAAAATAACCTGGCTCTTTAAGGATTAAAGGCAAAGTGTGAAACAGAAACAAGTTCCTTTATGATCAACCGGCATGATCAACAGAGTCCCACATGTTGCAATTAACGAAAGTCGTACTTGTCAAAGGCTTAACTACTGCTTTGGGCAATGTGGCTGGCTGACCAAGACTACTGCCTGCTACTCCCGATGAAGTCTTCTTGGTGCTTGGATCTGAAGAAATCTTCCGCTGAGGTAGATGGTCTTGGTCCTTCATTCTGCTGTTTGCTAGGACCTGGTGGAACTTGCTGTTCTGTTTCTGTAACTGCAGATGAATATTTGTTTCTTCGGTGAGAGTTCCGTATGTACACATCACTAATTTTCCTTTGCAGGAAGTAATTAGCAATCAAAAAGTGACAACATGTCATAACTATAAAGGTTAAATTTAGCAGTGGAAATATCAAAGCCTTTACTTAGGACACACTTAGAATTTTCCAGACCAGTCTCAGAGTTTGTACACAAGGTATCAAGTGATGTTTGGATATGGAACTCTTAGCACCTGTCTCTAAGATTATCCGAAAATGATTCAATCAAATCATCTTTAGGTTTACCAAGTTATAAGGTAGTCTATCCAGCATTCTGTCATTTATAAACAATTTTGTTTAATAAAATCAAATTTCCAACAGAACTGTGTTTTGTAGATGGCGTGCTATTAAATATCTCATCAGATAAAAATAAGACATGTGTCAAAAATTCAGATCTGCCAAAGTCTTGGACAGTATAGAATTAAAGATTTGTAAGAAAAAAAACCAGCAGAGGGAAAAAGTGTGGATTTATGGAAACCTGTGACAGCTGTTTGCTACTCTCCTTCAGTTGTTCCAATATCTGGCGGTTCTGGAGATCATGTGACTGATGTGCTTGGCCCTGATTGGCTGGGGGATTGAGGCGTGTCATGATGTTATTCTCCAGCGCTTGCAGTCTGCTCTTCATGCTCTCCTCAAAGTTGGCTTGCCGTCTTAACAATGGGCTGGTTGCATCAACAATAATATTTCTGATCAACAGTCATGCTGTGGTTTTGTGTAGAAAGCGCAGTCAGCTTTCCTTTCACTAAATTTAAGTCTTTGTAAAAAAAAAACACCACCTGTACTGTCTGAACTGCTCAGCCCGTTACTAGAGCTGTAAACAGAGAGGATAGCGCCAACTTCAGACTTCGGAAACCAAATTGGTCAGTCATTATGTGTGCAGTACGGCATGCAGCTATCGTGTGCTCATTGTCCGTGTGCACTGACGTTTGATCCACCATTTTGGTTCCAACAATTGAGACACTCATGTCGCAACTCTCTCTATAAACTGCTCTGCCCGTTACTCCCATGTACTGCCCTCAATTGCCTAAAACACTTTTGTGGTTCTCTGAATTTACCAGCGAATGAGTACAGAACAATACAAAGTAGCATGGGTGCATCATTCATTGACAGTTGTCAAATTCTGGGATGACTTATTCAGTCATGTTTCAGCCAGCTACATAAAATGCTGTTTTGAGAAGGGTTGATTGAGCAAAGCACATGCAAGCATATTGCAACTGGATAATAATGGCATGATATCAGATAAAAATTGAAAATGGTCATCTTATTTCAAAGCAGAGGATTCTGTTCAAATTGATTCTAAAATTGTACACTTTCTGATAATCATCCATGAAATTGGAGATGTTTGTTTGGTGTAGGTATTCAGTGTTGTCCCTTTACCTCAGGAATGGTGCATTTTCCTGCTGTTTGGTACTTCCTTCAGCAGACTCTGGTCTGTTTGTCACTTTCTGTTCATTGGAATCTCTCTTGGCTTTCTTGCGTGGGGGACTTGATGCTGCTTGATGCCTCTCCTCACCACTGCTAGATCGCTTGGCTGGCCGTTGGGCTGTGGGCCTCTCTGAAAATCAATTCAACAATGGTCAGTCTATCAACGGATTAACTTTGATCCACTGCAGTTGGACCAAAGAGGATTCTTGAAGACTCTTTTAACATATTGAAAAATTTCTTGCGCACACTTGCAAAACTAACAGGCCAAAAATGTGTAGGTGTTGATGACAAAGTTCTCCAAAAATATGCAGAGACAAAATCGCTGAAGTTTGAGGAAAAATACTTTTTAAAAATGTACACCCCCCCCAAAAAAAATGCAGCAACGATTTTGCTGACTGGAGCTTGACCAAAAGTAAATACATCAGAAAGGTACGGAGAGCCTGACATTCTTCAATCAATTGGAATGTTCTCAGCTTGCAAGTGCAGCCTCTCTTTCAACCTCACCATATAAAAGAACCACCACATATGGAACGACAATTCCATGTTGGAAGGATGACATTGCGACCAACTCTTCCCACCTGTAATTTCATTGGTGAAGGGCTTGTTGACGATATGCCTGGACTTGGAGGCAAAGTTGAGCGCTGTGTAGGTCTCCATGTAGTTGGACTCCTCGGGTGCGATGTTGGTAATCATGCAGGCATGCGCACTGCCACCAAGAGAGTCCTGGAGAAGGCGGGTCAGTTTACTGTCCCTGTAGGGTACACGACCCTGTGAAAAAGAGGGTACCCTGTCTGAACACGACTTTCAAATCTCTCACTTGCAAATGAGTCTACAAACAGGCAATACGTCCCATGTCCTTATGAAATGATGAAAGGTCAACTCGTTTCAGTACATCTCTAGGTGCAAAAAGGCACCCTGACCAACATGCCCATGCACCCTTGAGATCTATGTCAATCTGACCACAGAGTGGTGCTCAACTGTCACATAGCATCAAGTGTGATTTCAGATTCAGAATCTTTGAAGTTGTATACACGTATGAGGTCAAGTCCCAAGACTGATAGGTACCTGGATGGGAGGTCAAAGGTTATAACAAGGTAGTGGGTCTCACAGGCTTATCAGCCAGTTTGCTCTTTTAGAGCAGTATAAGACATTGAGACAAGGTAAACATAGCAAATATAATACAATTGTATAGACAAACAAATCTGCAGGTGTTAAATCAGGTGTCATATGAAGGACAACCACAAGGTATCTTGTAAGTCCAGAACTGTCTATAGGGAGAGTTGTGACATGAGCGTCTTAATATTGTTGGAACCAAAATGGCGGGTTATGCATGAGTGCACATTATTTACAACTACCGCACAATAGCTGCATGGTACTGCACACATCATGAACAGCCATTTTGGTTCCAAAGTCTGAAGCTGGCCCTACTCTCGGTACATATACAGCTCTGACTAAGGCTGCATCCGAATCTCTTGTCTAGAGCTAGGTCTAGGTCTTCATTCCATTGGAAATGCGTGGAGATGCACAGACAATAGACCTAGCCGTAGCTCTGGAAGCCCATTTCGGACACGGCCCAAGCCTAGTTACTCTTTCTACAAAATGTGACATTCGGAGAGCAACTTCCTACCGCTGAGGTCCCAGGTTAAATGAAAAATAAACAACGTGTGAATCATCCAAGGTCATGCTACCCTGCTGCAGATGTAAAATCTCCGGGAAAATGACATTTTAGGATATTCAGAGTGTACTCTTACCAGTCCTTGATTGAGTGCATCTACCACCTGACCCAGTACAAACAAAGACGTGTTGATAGCTCCACTTTCCTTCAGTCTAGAAAAGGAACCGCATTAAAAAAAACAAAAAAAAGAAATGGCATTTGAAGATATCTCATCACAACTTGTCAGTTAAAGCCTTTAAGTTTAAAATGTATTTTCTTTCAGTTTATTTCTGCAAATCAGAGAACCAATCTAACAGTGGACTGCATAAAGTACTAGTGCTGGCAAAATATTTGAAGGGTTGCAAGACTTTATTCCAAAATCCAAAAGCTGAACAGTTCTAACAAATTTCAAATGGGCTTTAACGTCAATGTTCTCAGTGATAAAGGAACGCAGGGCATTGAGGACCACTGGGTTTTATCAGTTCTCAGCACCAATGGATCTAGCACTTTGGAGCCTTGGTTTAAGTTTAGAAATCTTCCTAAACCCCGGCTTTGTCTTCGTTTTTAGGCAGCAGTGTTATGAATTCAATTCAGCCCCATTTTCTGCAACAAATTGTTATTAAATGCGAGGCTTAAGTTTATAGTGTCATCTTTTCAACAATAAATCTTTGAAAGTGTTTGCAAAACTCAGACAAAAACGTGGATGATTCGAACATTTGGGGGAAACATCTTCTCGGGATATTCCCTCCCCACAACCAAATTGTTGCTATGGTGATAGGGACAACTTACCTGATGCCCCGGTTACCAGTTCGCTTGTTGTTTTCACTGCCGGCCAAGTCAATCAGGTACACCTTGCCAATTTGTTTCTTATACGGAGGAGCCTCCTGTTTTTTCACCACCTGGGAACAAAGTTGTGTAAACAAAATGGGTAAAAACTTCTGCTGATATCTTTGAAAAATCAAACTCGTCAAATAATTGGTCCACTGAAGTTCATAAAGTCCTTGTTTCACATTTAGGGCTCGACATCCTAGGGTCAATTTCAGGGCTGGGGTCGGGGAGCCACAACGAAACAGTGAACTCAAGCCATCCACCCAGACAGACATTATTTTTTTTTTTTTAAAACAGATTTCTCATTGCAAGAATTTGTCGAGAGTTTGTTTTTCAACTTGCTCCCCTGATCCACCATAACACTTGGGTTTCGATCTGAAACTGACTGATGTAGTAACTGAATGCAGCATAGAAGGAAATAAAAGCAAATCATAGTGGACAGTGTGGGGCATGGGAATTGCAGAGGTTGGATAAATGCGGAATATTTTCCACCAAACCTTGAGCAAGAGAATGGAATGGCTTCTGCTTGATCGGCTGTTCAATTTTGTGGCTGCCGTAGTTCTGTGACAAAAGAAATGCAAACATCAGAGCGGTATGCCTCCAAATAAGTCCGAGAATTTGATTTAGGTATTTAATCTGCCGTCTCAATCTTCATTGGCATAGATCTTGCCTATGGGGAGGGGCGAGGAGCCTCCAAGGGGAGGGGCTGACCTGTTCTTGCTGGCAGGCACAAACAAGTCGTGGAACTCTTCCAGAGAAGTGATCACCCTCTCAGCAAGGTTGGGAATGAAGATGGTGCGATCCCGATCCTCCCTGATTGGTAGATCCTGACCTTTGACCTCCAGAAGGTCGTACACCTACAAAATGAAAACAAGTAGTCACTTTTTTTTTTACATTTTATGACAAAATTTAGGCCAAATGCTAATTTCTGACGACACAGACAGAGAGAGAGAGAGAAAAATAATGCAATTTAAATGGCATGAAATTAAAAAGGAAAAGGATCAAATGGTTCACAGAATTTTTCTACCACTTTACATTTCTTGTAATAACCACAGAAAGACATGTTTATCAACAGTTTGGTAGATTTGATCTGAGAATAATTCTAACTTGTTACGTTGGCATCCGAGTCTTTTTTATTCAAATTTTAAAAAAATGAAGACTTTCTAGACATGATCAAACCTTTTCCTGGTAGATTTCCAGGTAGGAGAAGCTAAGACTGTACATCCACTGGGCGTCGCCTGCATTCAATTTCTGCTTGTTGATCAGGCGGAAGATATCATTTACCGCCCTTGGAATGATCCCCGGTCGCTCAACAGTTCCCAGCATTGTGTGAGTTTTACCTGCTCAAAACAGGATAAAGTATCAAAGAAAAAATGGCACAAACTACACAACTTGTTTTTGTGTCTACTTGAGGCTGCGGCTGCAAGTTTTGGCTACGGCTGACAGTAACACAGGCACCTATGGCAAGTGGCCATAGCCGCTTGACAGTGACCTCCATAGGAAATATATCATTGCCAGACACAGCTACAACCTGTGGATGCAGCCTTACTTTAACCCTAACCCACTAGGGCCTTGTTACTGGGACACATCCTCAATCCTCCAAAATCCTACAACCTGTGGATGCAGCCTCACTTTAACCCTAACCCACTAGGGCCATGTTACTGGGACACATCCTCAATCCTCCAAAATCCTACAACCTGTGGATGCAGCCTTACTTTAACCCTAACCCACTAGGGCCTTTTTACTGGGACACATCCTCAATCCTCTAAAATCCTACAACCTGTGGATGCACCCTTACTTTAACAAATTTTGACCATCATGCATGGAAGGAATGTGTGCATTATAGAGACAACTACAATATTCCATTACAGTCCTTACAGAACTGCTCTTAAATCTGCTTCAGGTTTCATTGGGATACCAGATAAAAAATACTAGACCAAACGTTACTGTTGAACAAGTTTGTGATAAAAGTTACATCAACATACTGTTTAAAGATAGTTCTAAATGCATGTACATGTAACAGCTTTTGTAAAGAATTTACCGATTTAACCCCGGACCTGTTTGACACCATTTCTGAGTTGTAACAATCACAGTGGAAATATACATGAACAAAATAATCCCTTGCATGATCGTACTGGCTAGGACCTCTGCGTCACATTATACCACACACAGCAGCAAGCCCACATATGATGGTGGTAATGCTGTCAGAAAACTGCACCAACCAAAGGTGCGACGCGTTGCGGGACAGTTTTCAGACCACAACAGTCCTGACAAAATGATAACGTTACCGGCTCCGGTCGGTCCGTAAGCGAAAATACTCGCATTCTGCCCTCTCAGCGCTTTGGCCATCAGGGGCTTGACGCATTTTTCATGGATGTCTTGCTGCCTGGACGTGGCATCAAAGAAGACATCAAAGTTGTACTTGATTGTCTGTTTGGTGTCGCGCCAATTCCAGATCTCCAGAGACGTCGCATCCAGGCCTCGGACACAAGGCTCTTTATCTTTGTCATCTTGTTTGAGAACTGGGCGCAGGCGAACCGCCACTTTCATTCGAGTGGGTGTACCACTGACACTTGTACTGTCAGACATCTGGAAAATGGGTAGTGTCAAGATAAAAAGCCGGTGAGAAAATATTTATTGACATCAGTCTCTTGATGACAGACAGGGCATACTGTCAAGTGTGACTGTCACAACTGTCTGAAACGTTGAGTATCAACGGTTCTTTTCAGAAGCCGAATTGCTCCAAAATGAAATACACCCATGGTGCTACTGCAAACCCATCTAATGTACTTGCTATACCTCCACCATGAAAAGCTTCAAATCTCATCTAACAAACACTTACTTGTGTGGCTAGGCTATAGCTTGAACATGTTGAAATTACACACAACTTTAGCCCAGGTGGACTCCCTAAGCTGACCGTACTACGTTATGGAGGGTCAGTCGTAATGAAATGAAGACAACATCCAACCTGGGCTAACACAACTCTATCATGTCTATATGCCTTATCACAAATACCGCATGGGTGATTTTGCACATTGGTCATGTTGGTCAGGGTTGGTAGAAATGTGGGCCTACTGTGGGAAAGAAAAAGGCGCAAGTAAGAGTGCCCCTTTTCCATCCCACAATGCCTTTCTACCTTTGTACAAAGTCACCAAGCTGTATTATGGGAACTGTCTGTGGCCACTACCAGTAGCCATAGACTCGTCAGACACGGCCAGAGCTGGGATTTATGATCACGTAGGGTCTAGGCCTTCATGTAATTCACATTTGTCACTTTCAGCATGGAGTGCTTTCAGCATGGAGCTGCTTTTTCTATTCTCCATGCTTTCAGTAAAAACTTTGTCGTGTGCGACCGGCCATGCATTGGCCATGTTGGCTTTGGTGGTCTGCTGACCTTGGAAGACACGGCCGTTTTCCAATATTCAACTTTGGCTTCGTCTCAGGCTTAAACTGTTTTTTACAACCTGACTTTGAAGCTGTAAGCGCAATGATTAGTCTAATAGTGCCACAAAACATCAAATAAGATGCAAGAGAGTAACAAGTTACAGTAATCCAATTTGATTTAAACGCTTCAGGCCCACAATCATGGGGATTGGTTTCGGACACGAAGCCTGAGATGGAGACGAAAGCCGAAGTTGAAACTGCCCAGGCCTACTCCGTGGTCTGACAGGCCCAACAGTACACTGTTTGGATTGTGGCTTGTTACAAGAAACATTTGAAAAATGAATATCTGAAATTACAAACAATTACACCGTTTTTGCAGATTTATGCCGGAAAAACTACACGCCGCTTTTAACTTGGGCAGTCAAATTTACCACTTCTTGACTTGCTTTCCTGAATTCAACCAATCAGCGCCCAATGTTTCCCCTGTGTTTGTTGTAATTCGTTGCTCCACAAAGCCCGTTATCAAGATGGCGTCTTCCATGAACAGCGCGAAAGGTGGAGTTTAACAACAGATGTGGGGGTGAAAATGTTCTAATATCAACAATATTTATAAAGCATCTTGAAATGGTTAGTATAGGCCTGTAGGCTTATTTGTCATATGTTGTCAACTCAGTGATGTATTTCACGGAAAAGACGAGAAGTAAAGTGCCCAATTTCCAGACTGTACAACCATGCATGGACAATGACAATGAGGGCGAGTTGGAAATATGGAAAAGGACGCGGAATAATTAATAAAATTACAAAGATAACAATTAGAGCACAACAAATACAGTGCTTTGATTGGAGGCAACATAAATTTATAGAGTTCTGAGACCAAACAGATCCTGACTGTGTTTGGCATCCGTAAGCGATCAGGAGTTAGTCGCTGTAGTAAACGAATGGCCCAAATCGAAACCAAAATTTCACAGACTTCTACAAAGTGGAAATCGCCCAAAGTAATACATCAGAATATTGATGTCGGATTTCAGATCCCACGGTTGTTGGGGTAGCCGCGGGCCTAAATGAATAGGTCTACTAATAATAAATGAATTAACAAAAGAGGAAATTTTTTAATAAAAATCTTAAAAAGAAGGCAGACCAGAGAAAGGGAGAACAGTTGGGAATGATAAATTAATTTTTAGTTGGCCCAAATCGTCAACTTCACTGCTTTCTGAAATTTTAGTTATTTTATTTAAATGCATGCATACCTTTCACCAATTGCCTAATTTTTTGCTGTCATCCTTTGAAACTTATCTTCAAAGAATTCCAACTTGAAATGTCTGTGACCAAATGCTCGTAAAGAAATTATTCATAAGTTCCTATTTTTCTTTTCAGATCTGCATAATTTCTATTGTGGCAAAATGATGGCATCTGAAGAGAAGCAAACGGATGAGGTCTCCAAAATGGAAGAATCAGTTTCAGAGAAAGGAACTGAAGAGACAGAAACCAAACAGGAAGCATCGGCAGACACAGCAAAGGAGCAGGAAAAAGAAGTCAAGATGGAAGTGGAAGACACTCCGGCGGAGGATTCATCCAAGGTCATGACTGAGGTTCCTATGGAAACTGAGCCAGCACCACCTCAAACCAAAGAGGAAAGTCCAAAGATAGAAGAAAACCCCAAGATGGAAGAAACTTCTGTAAAGGATGACAGTAGAGAGCAGGAAACCATCAATGAAGAAGATAAAGTTCAAGACAAAGTGACTGAAGAAAAAGCTGACGATGAACTAGAAAAACAGACCATCTGTGAGGACAAAGAAACTGAGGTGAAAACCACATCACCTCCAGATCCAGTTCCATGTAATGATGAGGCAGTGGAGGCCACTGAAGAACTGGATGAGGATTGGGATGTTCTTGGAACAGATGATGAAAAGGACGAGACAAGGAAGAAGAAAACCTCCGGAGTCTGGATGCCAGACGTCAACGTTATCATTGATCTGTATCAGAAACTGGACAAAGAAGGTGTGCTGGAGCTTCAGTGGAAATGTCCTGGCAGACGTCCACCTCCAGAGGAGATAGATGAGAAAAAAGAGGAGACACCGATGACGGAGACAGAGTTGGAGAAACCAGAAGCAAAAGAGGAGAAACAGTGAGTTCCCTGAATTCTTCTTGTCGGTGACACTTGTCATTTTGAATATTTAACATTACATTTACTATGAATATAGATTTAAAATTAGGATCTGCCCATAAACATTTTTGGACACTTTTTTCTTGCTTTGATCCGTTTAAGCCAAAGGTCCTGAAAATATGAATCCCAAAGGAAAGGAAAGTTTGTATCACTCAGTAAATTACTTTTTATTGTGAATTTGTTTCACATATCCTAAATACACCTGTTGCCATGATTTTATCTTTTTTTCCTTATAGGGAAGAGGAACCTACAGAGTTTGATTTTGATGTTGATGCTCCATCTGTCACTAACATGGCTCCTAGACGAACACCAGGTATGAACACACGTCTTCCCACCATGTGAACGTGTTACCACCCTTCCCCTTTTGACAACAATAAGATTTCTGGAGAAATTATATTTTAAGCAGTGCCCAATTTCAGGCACTGCTTAGCACGCAATTTCACGCTAATGGAGACCATAAGCAGTAAGCACAGCCAAAGGAATGCTAACCTCGGAGGAAAGATTTGCTTAAACTGTAGTGACTTAACAATAGAAATCTCTATGCGCCTGCAATCATTAGTGCAACCATGCTGAGTACTGCCATGAAAGGGTGCTTAAGAGCAAATTTTTCTTTTGGAGTTAGCACAACTTTTCTGCTATTCAAGCAGCTCCTTGAAATAGAGCCTGAAAGTCGACCCCTGATGGCCGGCTTCTGGAACCTTTGGTAGGAAAGATAGGAAAAATAACATGCAAAGATTTTAGAATTTGTAATATTTTTTCGTTCAATTACTTCTTTAAAAATCCAACTCGGAAAAGGGGCTTTGGAAAATATGTGCTAGTATATCAATTTATAGAAACTAAAAAAATCCTCTGACCTAAAAGAGAAATATCCTGCCAAACATTGACCCATCACTTCCGAAAATCTAAAATACATGAAAACAGTGCAATGCGCCAGTCTCGTACACAGTTGAATATTTACGGTTTGACATTTTATTGTAGTCCGTCAGTAAAAACTGAAATAAAAACAGATAAAAATATTTTAAACAGTCTTATAATTTATAAGTAGTAAACCTAAAGCAAAATTCTACTTCAATTATGAAAGGTTCTAATCTTTTATCTAACCTTTGCTGACAACAATTGCATGATGTCAACTCAATGGAATCTGAAATCCATCGACTTCAAGTAGGTAAATCTTTGCAACATTGTACAATCCCGTTTTCACGTAAGCACGGGCAGTGAAAATAAACATGCATGAACATGGAGACCTAGGCATGATATCACCGGAAGTGAAAGGTCGTTAAGAAAACTAGTTCTTTACATATCTCAATGTGACTTTTCCTAAATATTACTTGAGGAAGACAAAGGTAAAATTCCAACATGAATGTTTCATAGGGTGTTTTCAGTTAGGAATTATTCTTCCAAAAATTATCGAACGTGATTGGACAGCCCAACGTAAAATCCCCATAGGAGGACCGTGCGAGGGTTCCGGAAGCTTGCTGCGTGAGCTTTTACGTTCAGGCTCTATCGGGCTCTGCTGTTAACTTCCGCCCATAAAGGCTGTTTGAAGATGTTTGCATAACAGAAATGTTTTCGACTTTGTTCCCCCAGAGGCCTCCAAAATTAGTTAATTTGTTCTCTCCTTTTATCAGGAAGCGGCCAAGCCCTGGGAAGTGGTAAAAAGAGAGTTGCCAGGATGGACAAGATCTTTGACGACATGCTCCGACACAAGAGGATAGACGAGGAGCTAGCGAGAGTAGGGGACGAAGCGGACGACACCCTCAATCGAACAGACACAACTCCACAGAGACCAGTGGGGAAATTCAGGATAAGGAAGGATTTCTGACACGAAGAAGTCTTATGTGAGAGTTTGAGTTGGAAGTTCTTCATACTTATGGTGGAGAAGAAATGCCTTAAAACCTAAGGAGAGAGTGTAAAGGGGCTGCACAAGGCAGGAGCAGAGGAACACACATGAACTCAGGTTTATTTTGTTGTACCTAATGGGATTATGGAAGAACTGTGTCAAGTGCAGGTCACGCAGAGTAGAGAACTTTGGAGTCATAGAAGTGGAGATTACCTTCCTTGCTCAAGCACCCCTCATTATTGTACACGTATTGTACACGTACACGTGACAGACATGCAAGTGCCTCGGGGTTTCTTGCGTCTGGGTAGCCAGCACAACAATGCGTCTGGTTGTGCACATTTAGATGAAAGTCAGTCGGGTGACTTGGCACAGTGAGCTGCATGTGTTGGCTTAGTTTTTTAAAGCAAATTATCCCATCCTTCGTTACAATAAATCTGTGACTTCAGCCAAAGTACGTAAGGAATCTACCAGGTGTAGCTGTAGAAGATTCTAGGGTGGCAGGAACAAGTAACAATGTCAGGTCCAACCAAAATGTTACCTTTTTTATTGATTGATATTTTTGTCAAATATTTTAAAGGACGTGTGTTGTAAAGAATAGTGAAATAAAAAGAGCTGAGCAGTTCAGTTTCTCAAGATTTTTTTCACTGGCAAATGTTCAAAGCCCCATTCCCTCTTTCAGGAACTTGTCTGGTCTGACATTACTCCTCTAAAATGTTGAAGACAATTGGGGAAAGTGATTTTTGGGTGTGAGGATAGGTAGGAGTCATTCCTAACCTTTCCACTCAATTTTGGCGCCCCCCCCAAGGGTACCCAAGCCTGAGGTGTGTGCTGCCTCTGAATAGCCAAACCCCACAGTGTACAAGTGTGAATACTGTGTGTGTGTGGATAAGTTACTTCAAGAAGTTTTTGTAAAATTATTATTAGATCTTTTGTATTTGTACAAACCTTTATGAAATCCTACAGCTTTCAAAAACCATGTCTGTGAAGTATTTGTGGGAATAAAAAATTGAAATCTCTATCATACATTGTGATTTCAGTCGAAAAGTCACTTGGTTTGTCAAATCACAAGTTTACAGTGTACTTAATTCCTCCAATTCTTAAATTGTGTTCTCTGTGGTGTTTCTACCTCCATGGTTCCGAAATGCGGTGTTTTGTTTGGGATGTAAGTGCTATAAAAAGGTGAACTTGTTTGCTAATCCAAGTCCACCAACCCCCCCCCCCACCTCCTTAATCGGAATTTCTTCGAAAAATGAACAATGGAATTTGCCCCACTGTGCTTTTATACGGTTGGATGAATTTCCCATAATAGACAATTTGTCACAATCCACATTGCTAGTTTCAATGAGGGTACAAACAATCTTAAAATAGAACAGGCAACGCGCATAAAAGGGAAGGGTGTTCCTATCTATGACGTCATAAGTTTATTCATCGTCAGTACATATACAGTGTGCACGTACGTACGTATTTGTGTACATATATACAGAGGTGCATCGGCACGTCGCGTCCGTGGGCTTAAAAAGCGGAATCAAATCTACGCCCTTGATCCGTCTCGTCAGCGCCATTTCGGTCGGATTTTCGAAACCAGTCCACGGCCAAAATACCAAGGCTTCCACTAAGGCACCATTGATTCCGAAGCTATGTCCGGGGAAGCGGGCACGACGGGGACAAGTACCCATGCGTCTGCCGCGGCGACCGGACCCACCTCGGCGGTCAAGATCCGTGGCTCGCCCAGCAAGTACGTGAAGCTCAATGTCGGCGGTGCGCTGTTCTACACTACCATCGACACGCTGACTAAACAGGATAACATGCTAAGGGCCATGTTCAGCGGACGGATGGAAGTATTAACTGATTCAGAGGGTATGAATTTTTGATAGATTTTGTGGAGCTAAAACAGAAGACGCCCTTGCGGCGTCATCTGTACGGGACAGCCAGAATTTTGGCGATTGTACAGTAGCCAGCAGAAGCAGAAGACATCCGACTCAGTGTTAGGCCTAGTTGTTCATAGTTTACTGTCATGACTGTGTCCTGTTGTGTACTGCCAAAGCGGCCATGACTGTGTGGTCTTAAAATTTCTAAAATGAAAGTGTCAGTGTCACGCTGAATTCCTGGCTCCATGGTGACACTGTTCATCACTAACAATACATGACATACAGCCATACTCATGTACTAGCCTGCACACCATTATGACTAGTGCCAACTCTCTACATGCTGTATGAACAACTTGAGCAGATGGTCTGTTTGCAACTGATTTCATAAAACTGCAGTGAGTTATTAAGCATCAGCAATTTTTTTGTTTTTAAAATTAGTTAAATTGCACATTCAGCAACTACACCTGATAATCAGCTTTATCTAGTCTGCTTGGCAGTCATGTTTTCTTGGAAGTTGGAACTGATTTCTTTGGTCTGAAGTTCTGGATAAGCCTATCTACCCATGAAACTTTTATATATAACAGGTTTTGCCCTTACCCAACGTATATTAATTAAGCACTGTATGCTCAGTGCTTGTCCGAGAGCTTGTGAAAAAACCTCATAAGCTTACTCGGGTGGGACTAGAACCCACGACCTCCTGCTTACTAGTGCAGATGTCTTAACCACTCAACCACCGAGCTTGCCAGGGTTGGCTGGCCGGTCTGAGTCAGGTGAAGCAGCGGGTACCGCGAACTATTTTCAAAATGTATTTTTTTGGGTAAGGGCAAAAGCTGTTACATATAATTAACATCTCCCCAATGCAAAAATACATCTTGACCATGAAACTTTGTTTTCGAATAAAGAGATGGAAAGAATGTCACTAACTTTTCCTAGCTAGCAGTGACGTATTATAGCCCTCTGAAAGCAGCAAAACATCCTTAAAGGCCAAATTTAGCAGGGAAAGTATTGAGGTATTCACTTAGAAAAGTACTTGGAATTTTTTAGACGAGTCACATAGGGTTGGGTTTGCGCATCCGTTTATGGAATTCTTTCTGATGTGTGCAATGGTTAACTCCCCTCGTACTATATCAAGGCTACTCAATTATTACTTCACATTGACTTCTTTAGGTCATGCTTTTAGGACGTAACATGAGAGACGTTGCCCTTCTTGGACAGCGATGTTGGAAGATTCAGTTAATTTACTGTAAAATACTCCCTGTGTTGAAGTTAAGCATCCTTTTTAGGTTTTTGTTTTTAAGAAGTTGAATATTGTTTCAGGATGGATCCTGATCGATCGCTGCGGTAAGCACTTCAACATCATCCTGAACTACCTGAGAGATGGCCAGATCCCGCTCCCAGAATTACAGAGCGAGATTGAGGAACTCCACAACGAGGCCAAATACTACCTGATTCAGGGGCTGGTGGACCAGTGCCAGAAGGCGCTGAAGCGGAAACGCGACGAGTACTTCCCGGTCTGCCGCATCCCTGTCATTACCTCACAAAGGGAAGCTCAGTTGCTCATTAACGGTTCCACAAAGGTGAGTCATTGCATAGCAAAACACCAGGAAGTAAAAACTGCAGGTAGAAAATCCATTATTCCGTCAGGGCTCTACACTGACATCACATTTCCCTAGATAACTTTAATTACACAGCACTAACCACTATATTACTGAATGACTTTGATAGGCTTAAGATGTGCAGGTGATGTGGAGTTTGTGGACTTAAGCCCTTGTCATTTTGTGAATGTGGTAACGTGTGTGTTAACATGGTCAGTGTTATTAGCAATAGTGCAGTGTCATCCAATGGGGTTTTGGTTTTGAAAAGAAAATGGATCTGATCTCAGTAGGACGATCAAGAAAAGGGTGTAAAATTACTTGGTTGACCTCAAGCTCTATAATGATGACTACGTGTACTTGTAAATGTAACTGGCAAGGAAACCAGGGATTCCTCAGAAGAGCCTATGGCGCTGTAGCTTGAAAACCTGCAGAGAGAAGACAGCAAGGAAATGTCCAGCTTTTTGTGTGAGATGCAGACCCCATATAATTGTCCAGGGACAGGAAACCCCAATCCACTCACTGGATAAGGTGAGATTCGAACCAGGATTTTAGGAATGGAAGGCGAGGAAGTCAGGAAGTACGTTTATGTTGTAACAAGCTCATATCCCAATAAACAATCCTCTTCCTTTTGATTTCAGCCAATTGTCAAACTGCTGTACAACAGACAAAACAACAAATATTCCTACACAAGGTGAGTCCAGTAACAATCCTAGTGGAAGTCAGCATATCTGTTCTTATGCGCTCTGTGCAGGAACAAGGAATGGACTGTTTTTACCTGGGAATGAGGTCTCATTGGTTGGAGAACACCACGTTCATGCGGAGGTTCATGTTTGGCACAAGAGCAGAGCTTGCAAAGCGATTCTGTGTTGAAGTGTACAGTCTCTACATTTGTGCTGTGTGCCCAGTTGGAAATTGCTTTTACCAGCCTGTCTCTTCTTTGCTAGTAAGGAGGGTGCCTCTAGTCGGAGTGGATGATAACAAACGTGTAGACAAATCCAAGAAGATACCATTACTGTAGAGCCATAACACATGGGTTTAAACTTGGACACGTTCGTACATGATGGCAACTTCCTATCGACCTCGAGTAGAAGCACCCCCCCCTCATCGGTTTAAAAGAGCAGCACTGATTTGTTGGTAGCGATGTGACCCTAGCTCATGCATTTCCTAGTTGCTCGTAAACCACTTGAAGTTCTGACCAAAGGAGTCTCTGTTGCTTAGAAAACAGCGCTCTCTCATGGTCCAGCTCGTGGCCAATTGTCAGACAGAAATAACAGCATAGCCCCGCAGTAATGGCTTTCAATTCTGGTCGCTGGATTTGTCTGTATTGGTTTTTGTCGTCATGTGAAATTCATGTTCTGTTTAATCACTGGACAATTATGAGAGCTCTCTGTGGCAGATTCCAAGTGTGCACATAAACATGTCTTTCATTTGCCGGTTTGTTACATATGACAGTTTGTTTTAACCCTAACCCTACATAATACTACAAATTACTACTTGTAGTAAAATGTAGTAATCAGTGCTGCCGCTTGTATGAGGACATGACCGTATTGTTCTCTGAAGCCATAAAATACAATAGAAAAGACGATGTACCATACAGTGCTGTGGCACTATGAATGCATGGCTTTATTGTTCTCTGTACAGTTAACAATGGAAGTAACCTAGCCAGAAGTAGTAATCTGTAGCGCTAGGTCCTTCAGGCTCAGGCTATTACTTAGTATTTTGTAGTACTGAGTACTTTAAGCCAAACAATATGCTCGGCGGTTAGGGTTATTATCTATATTGGTTCAATTGAGTTGAAGTTACACTAAGACTTATGAAAAAAATCCCTTCTATTCCTTTCCCTGCCTGGCACTGCTTCACTGTCCTCAATTGCTCAGGAATGTGACCTGTTCAGAGTTTTCAAACTTTACGACTTTTATTTTCTTTTGCAGTGACACTCTGAGGGTTATTTACCTTTACAATTAAAAAAGTCTTGGTGTCATTTTGTTCACAGCAACTCAGATGACAACATATTGAAGAACATAGAGATGTTTGACAAGCTCTCGGTCCGTTTCAACGGACGTGTCATCTTCGTCAAGGACGTCATTGGCGGCAACGAGGAGATCTGCTGCTGGTCCTTCTACGGTCACAGTCGCAAGGTGGCCGAGATCAGCTGCACGTCCATCATGTACACCAGTGAAAAGAAGCAGACCAAGGTGAGGGGTCAGTGGCATTTTGGTGGCTGGAGATTGACCAAGACCCACATAGGTCTTGCTCTATGTGGACAAGTTAGAGTGTAAACTATAGCTAACCATAGTTTGGCCAAAGTCACTTCAACAATGGATGGTGGGACTTGTATTTGACCATTTGAAACCAGATTCTAGGCACTGTTTTTAATCACTGGTTATCAATGGCCTTTTTTGCAATTAAGTGACGAGGAACTATTGGCTCGTAAATAATCATGCAGGATGGCAGACAGCAAGACTGGATTGAGATAGGTAACCAGCCAACACTGAGATCTCACGAAAATTGTTATATTTTGGTCATGTGTGTGGAAGTGTGTTATTATGTATGCCTTTATAGTAAGACTAAGAGGCAGTTGACCAGGGATTGGACTGTCGTTTGTTATCAAACATGCCCCTAAATAGTGTTCCTTGTGTTTTAGTCGAGTCCATCACAAAGCCCTGCAAGTCCGTAACAAGTCATCCAGTTGTATCTGGCTTGAGCAGAAGCACCCCCTCATTGGCTGAAAAGAGCCATGTTGGTCGGGAGCGTTCATTTTGCTGGTAGCGACGCAACCATAGTGCGTGCATTTCATAGTCGTTTGTGAACCAGCGATGTGCAGTTCGGACCAACGGAGCCTCCATTGCCAGGAAAATTGCACCTCCTCTTGGTCGAGCTCGGGGCTCATAGTCACAGCATATTTAAATGAACTGTGATAAAAGCATGCCTTTGCCGTTGTTCACCTTGTATGACTGGTCTTGTGAAAGGACTTGTAGCTTGTAGAAAGGACGTGTGATAGACATACAAGTACTTATTGAAGCTGATTCTTGCAGACAAGGTATTATATTTCTGCAACAAATTTCCTATAGCTACATTGTTTGTATGTTTTAAGTTCTTTAGCCCTAACCCCCCAAGGTTTGCTAGCCCTAACCATCCCCATTCACACAAAGTTAAACACCCATATGGGACTTTGTGCACAGAGGCTGTTGGGTATGCCAAACCCAATGCAAAAGCCAGCTATTATGGGCCTACCAGACCTATCCCCACAGAATTAAACGCTTTACTACTGTTTAATTCTGTGTGGTTGGGGAAGGTTAGGGTTGAGGTTTGATATGGTTGAGTGGAAAATTATGTGTGAACAAAATAATTTTGTGTGTGTGTCTGTTGTAAGACTTTTTGTACCTATTTTATTATCAATGTTTGCAAAATTATGAAGTGTTTTCTCTTCCTTTGGCGGGCATTTTTGTAAGTTATTGGAATTTAGACACAGCATGAAATTTTACAGGGTCGAGGACAAATGGTTGACTGTGTGTTTCTGATATATTGAGAAAAAAAAAATAACCCCAGGAAAAAGATTAAAATACAGTCAAATTTTATTTTCAAAACACTAAAATTTCTACATTGGGGAAACATCTTAATTTTTGTTTTCCCCCGAAAAAATTGGATTATTCAGAGTTAGCGAGTTCGTAGTTCGACAAATAAGAAAATGTTGGCCTGACTGTTTGTAAAGGTGACAGGGACACTTACCATTTTTTCTTGCTGTCATGCTAGGTTGAGTTTCCAGAGGCACGGATCCTGGAGGAAACGTTAAATATTCTCCTCTACGAGAAGCTTGACAGCCAAGACGCCGAGGCCATGCACAACATAGGCACCAAGTTAGGCTCCTTCGCCGCCGCTGCGGCCTGCCACAGTGACGACGACGAAGACCACCGCGTCCGGAAAACATGAGGCTAGCTGCAGGCCACTGCCCGCTGATGTGGTGTTGTAATAGGCAGAGCTGACAACATTCCAAATGTAGTAACCAATAGGAAGTCGCTCCTGCAGTTAGATGACTGTTTCACATTTGACGGTGAGACCTTCGTAAATTTTTTTATGTACCAAATTCTATAATGAAATTGTCATTTTCATGAAGCCATATACATGTATGGCATTACAGATATGCATGCATGCATGCAAACGTGTATAAAGTATGTTTCGAATTGAATAATCGCTCAAGTACCGTACACAACTTGGTACAAACATAAATACATTATGTGTTCAATAACTGATTGTATTCCCATATGATACACGTATTTGGGCATAAAAAGGGGGAGATTTTGTATATTAGCTTTACCCTCTTTGTTCGGTAAAAGATAAAGAGGATGAATGGAAATGCTGCTTTTTATTTGAAGAGCGCCCTCTGCCATTTCTTTTTTAAAGAGTCAAAACCGAAATGTGTGCAATTTCTCTGTTTCCTCAGATTCCCTTGATTTACTTATGAAATTAATTTCCAAGGATTTTATTAAACATATTTCTCACTTCTTTTAAATTTTCGAAGTCCTCCTCAGACATAACTATCTTCAAGGTCTGTTTTGCCAACTTAAAAAAATTCGGTCAAAATTAACTGAGGGCATGTCACACTGCATATTGAGGATTTTCTAGATGAGCCATCAAGTCAGCTTTTCTGCACAGAATTCATCTTCAGATATTTTTATACTTGCCGCGCTTGCATTGCATATATTATCCTTTCTCATTTCAATGTTTGATACCAAGATGTTTATGTACATCCACGTTTAATCAATCGTTAAATCAAATGTTCAAGCGTTTAACTTTTTTTATGAGGTTACAAGAAGAGCCTTACTGGGAAGTTTTTGACATTTCTATTTTGGTTATAATTAGAAAAACTGCATTTAACCCATCCATTAAATACGTGTCTTTTATTGCGATGGCTTATTAGACGGGGCATTCCTGCAATGCGGTTCATCTTCACTGATGTTATAATTTAAGGAAATGTAACAGCCCCAATATGAAAGTTTCTGACACCCAAAAACCAAGGAATGGTATCCGGGTGACGGGAACCAACACAGATGGTATTTAGTCAAATTTTGATCACCATCCGAGTATTATCCGAAGAATACATTATTAGCTAACTTGAGCTAAACCCTCTGAACGTGTAAAGCTTATGGAAGATTTTTGTAAGCATCACGGATTCGATTTTAAAAAACATAAAGGGATGACCAATAGAACCCCTTTTTTTGATTTGTGTTTTTGTTACTTGCTCTTAATCCTTTCTGCTCACAGTTCTGCTCTGTTGCATGGAAATGAATGTACAGATTTGTGACAAGGATAAATAAATGGACATCTTTTGCAAGAAAGTCCTCAGCTTGTGCAACATATATACAATGTAGTACTGTTTTATCCAATTTTTTTTTCACGTTAAGGTTTATTTTCCAGTTTTTATTTTATACCTTTTGGTTATTAAGTAATCATTTTTTGTGGAAATACATTTTTCCGAAGAAATAAGTGGTTGCAAACTCTGACTCGAGTATCCTGCTACATGTTTTGATCCGAGCATCATTTAAAAAACACATTATATTCAGAAAGGTTGCGATACAAAAGAAAGGCACAACATCATACCTTAACCCTAACACTCCTCAGTCCTCCAACCGGTGAAGGATTGAGGAGGGTTAGGGTTAATTCTGATGGAAACAAGCCAGAGAATGTGGTGTAAAACTGTACTGCATGACAAAAGAAAATCTCTACATGAGTCACGCATGGAAGTTTCACACACCAGTTTCTTGTGCTATTTGCACAGCAGAAATTCAACTTCCAACTTACTCTTTCGACGTTCAACAGTCTGGGCACCTGTAGGCACAAATCTGACAAGACAGGTTGTACATGTTATTCTTGTATGTCAATACAAATTGCATTCAGGTACTGCTACAAACCACCTAGACGTATTTAAAAAAAGTTAATAAGCAAAAATATGAAACAGTGACTCTGTAGTGAACAAGAACAAATCAAAATTTTTCAAAAGACTTTAAAAATAGAGGGAAGGGAAGTTTATTTTGAAAAAAACAAACAAACACTAGAGGCCTAATTGAACCTGTCAAGCCACTACTTGCAAAACACTGACAAATGGAAGTCTTTAATTTGAAGTCCCAGGAAATGGTTCCAGCTCTTTGACGCTGTTTCTCAAAACAAATTGGAAAAGTACAGGACTGTGGTTAACCTTGGCAGTTGAAGTAAGTACATGAAGGGCCTTACTTTTTAGGAGGTAGGTTAAAAAACTTCCACCAATGTAAATAGTGGTGAAGTGGAGGGGGGGTTGTCACAAGAACATTAATTTTACAGTTTGGGCTGATGGGGGGAGGGGAGTAGCTGCTTGCTGTGGGATTCCCTCTGCAGCATTGGCTAAATGGCTATGTGAATGGGCAACTTTCATTCAAACAAGAGGGTTTTTTTGTTGAATGCCTAATCGTAAATAAACTTTGTCATTAGGCTAAATATACCATTCCATAAAGTGATGCTATTTTGCAAAACCTTTGATTTAGCAGTTTAATAACCGTACATTTATTACAAAGTGAACCGTTTTCAAAAAGGGACTACGTAACATATTTATAACCGGTGATCCTACATTGGTTGAAAGCACTGAGGGTCAATGCATACAAAGTCTGTGCATGAAAAACTTGTGTTCTAGAACTTTATGCCAATCCAAAATAGAATTCTGTTCCCAGAAGTCTTGTACTGCTCTTGATGGAATTTCCGTTTAAGTCTGACTTTCTCAACAAAAAAGTGTCCTTCACGATTTGTGCAGATTAATTTTCTGGACAAGGTTAACAATTTCAAATGTTGTACCAATGCTGTTTAGCGTCATAGGCTAAAACTGAAGTGCGGAAATAGCAAACTATACTGACCACTTGTCTCTGGAATGTTCCATTTTTCCAAGCCCTGAAGTTAATAGAATAGTCTAATATCAGCTCATTGTTTCCAGTTCATGTTTGAATTGAATTTTTGGAAATTGAATCAATTTTGTGAGTAAAAATTATGCCATCCCTTCCAACAGCCAAATGAAACTGAATTTAGCAAGGGCGGTATATCTATGTCAATTTTCAAAGAATCCAGTGCGAGAGGCAGTTTTAAGCAAGAGCCAGCCGCTACTTGGTCTGGTCTTCCCTGCCAAAGCCGATGGATTCCAAGTATTCCATACCTAGGAATTCAAAACACGAGGAACGTTTGAATTATTAGAAAAATCAACATTGGCATTGCTGTTCAACCTTTCAAAGAATGATGTCCGTAGCTTTATTCCAACGAAAGGCACATTCCAAGTTTTTGGTAAAGTTATGATGTCTGGCAGCAAAAATAAAACTGAGTCTAGTCCAAATATGAGCTAGAGATTGAGGTTCGGTGAGAATTGTCACCAATACAGACAAAAGGAATATCCATGAAATGTAATCCGTGAGAATGCCAGAAGGGTTGTGCTTTTGGATGACCTTTTGTGATTGAATCATGCTGGGTTTATTCATATACATGTACGTGTTTCACTAAAATTTTTCTGGTGGTGTTAAGAACCTCAAGCATTGTTTCCTTCCCTGCCAGGAGAAATGAATCGTCAGAGAGAGGATGTTTTGTTTTCTCTTTCAGCTCAGGCATGATGGGTTCCAGCCCTTTCTGCAAGGATTAAACAAAGATTGATGCACCGTGTTAGCAAGGGTGTAGCGACGGGAGGGGGAGTACCTAGTGGCGTATCCAGCAGGAAGACAGTGGGGACGGAATTTTTTTTAAAGAATTTTTCATATGAGAAGAAGTTATTAGTATATTGTTTATCAAATATTACCACCAAAACCCCAAGAAAACCATCAAATAAAAGCAAGGATGGCGAGACCGCAAGTAAGACTTGATATTTTTGTCTCCTCTGACATCAAGTTCAATGAGTCCAAAGCTGCATTTGCTTTTGTATTTGCCTCCTTCTTCGACACCAACAGCTGGATACGCCTCTGGTAGTGCCCCCCCCATAATTAATTCCAGTCGGTAAATAGAGCTTTGCTCGGCAAATGAATCCAAATTTAGTGCTTAAACGATATACGTTGGCCATCCAAATTTCCCCTGAAATCTAGCATACTATGGATCGCTTTGTGAATTTTTACACAACACAAGGTTGGTGAACAAGTTGCAAGTCAGCAAATTGATTCTGGCACACCCCCCCCAAGAAAATGCCTTCGCTAAGGCACTGCATGTAAGACCAATTAAACAGATTGTGTGAAGCTGTATTTTGGAAGTTTCAAGCAAGCAATTCTTTGGTAATGCTTTGCTGATTTTCAATTTTCTTATCATTAGTTTTATATTTTTGGAATAATTGTGAGGTGTCAGGTAGCATTTTTCTTTTTCTGTTTTTGGGGGTGAGGCTTCAGGAGGAATAAAATGTTGGACTGCCATTTTTAGAATAAGAAGCCCTTTGCTCCAAACATTTGGACATGCCATCGGTCAAGAATGTTCGGCTGGGCATAACTAGTACTCCTACATCTCTAATCAATTTTATTAGTAAGTTCTAAGAGTTCTGCCACTGGCTGTTACAGTTTGTTGGAAGGGGGAGGGGCCTGAGATATAGGAGGAGTTCTGTTGCCATGTTATAGTCAAAAGCAAGAAGTGAAAATCCCCAACCCCTGAGGGTTATATTCAAATGGCCTGCCCATTGACCTGAGATAAACTGTAATCCACGGCGATATACTCGTCTGATTTTCCTAGAACGCTTAGTACCAAAGCTATCACAACTCCTGTCCGATCTTTGCCATGTGCACAGCAGACCATGGCTGGGAGATTCTCAGGATCAGAGAGGGTCTTCAGGACTGAGAGGCAAAAAACAAGGCAAATATTATTCATTTGGTCACAACTACAATGGTACTTTTGACTGTGAATATGTGCAATGGGTAAGGCGACTAAGACAGACTAAAGATCTCTATGACGACTTTCTGCATGGAAACCAATTCATGGCGAAGTTTTACAAGAGCCTGTGCACTTTTTTCTTGAAGTTTGACCCAAACAATTGTAGAATTTGCGAAAAATATGACATCAAGGAACACTTGTCATTTTATCGGAGGATGTGTTTATATATATTCATTTATTTCGATAAGAACAGTAAAATCCTTCCTCTCAAAATTAGCCATTGCTCATTAAACTTGTGACATCATTATCTTACAGAAGGTTACATGATGAAAAATGTATGTTGTCCACTCCAAACTTTGCGATTTGTTTCAAGTTAAATGAAATGGAAAACACATTTCTGCGTTCTGAATAAACCAAAATGCAACTTTCAGTCCTATGGTAAGAAAAGGCTTTCCCTTTTTAAATAAAGTTTGCTTTTTTAAATGACTTACTGAAACATATTTCCTTGCTTGCGTACTTCAGAAGCCCCAGGTACCATCCTACTAGGTCATACCTGTGGAATTGCTCCGATAAACACTGAGTAAAATACAGGACAGCTTTATCCACAAAGATGCCGATGATCGCCCAGAGCACAGTGAAAATCTGCTCAGTGTACCAAGGTGCCATGTAGAAAACATCAAGGGCCATCTCTTTTTGGTTCACTCTGACCCATTCCAGGTGATGGATGCGTGACCGGGTTTCCGCTTAAATCCTTCACAGGAATGGTACTTACAAAGGGGTATTTTTTTGCTGCCTGTTGGTCCGGAATGTCCGGTACCAAAACGTGGACAAAGTCATCGATTGCTTTAGCCTTGCCATTTTCGGAGGTACGATACTCTTTAACGCTGCGACAGTCGAAGTAAGAGCGGATGTCGGGATTGGTGAGGGCTTGAATGTCTGCTTGGGTGGCTCGATCCTGCATGGAGGACCGGAACAGCTTACCGTGGCTATCTCCCCGTCGCAGGTTGGGGATGGAATCCAAGAGGATGACGTTTTCTTTGAGGCTGTCCACATCCGACGTCACAGTCTTAGAGGGGCCAAAGGATGACACCATTGTGAAGATACGAATAGTGAAGGCAGACACTCCTTATCAAAACCCACAACAGAATCAAAAATATGATAGAAGATTTATTCAAGTAAAGGTAAGGCTCTCCTAGACGCATTTGTGAAAATGATAAGTAACTTATTTGCTGTGACAAAAGGCATTACAAAAGAAAACAAATGAACCCTAATGACTTCCATGAATTGCTTTAAGTCGGCTCGAGCACTAAACAAATTCGCCAAGTTTCGAATGCATATCTGCAGGTAGTCTGGAACCCGTAAGATATGAGAAGGGTGAAGTGGGTCTATTTAATCAAAAACATCCACCCACTTGGGCTGCTGGATGTATCTTAAAAGGGATTTGATTTATTTGTAAACACAACAACTTCAATTTTAGTCTTTCATCTAGGGCAAATATTCATACCTTTTATCTAAAGGGTCAAGGGGTAGGTATGACCCAACCGTCAATTGGTCAAAAAACACCAATGAAAACTGTCCCACTGGATATGGGTGGACTAGAACCCAGCTTGGCCAGAATTTGTATCAAATGGACAAAATAATAGGCACACATGTCCACTTGGAAAAGTATGACTACAACTTACTCGGACATATCAAGCCATGAGAGAACATGAGCAAACAGAAAAAGCTACAATCATTTTCTCTACAATCTATTTTGAAATATTATGACATGTAAATGTTGAGTGATCATCTCCTTTTTACAAGATTTTGAAATTCTATGCACATTATTCTGTCATCTACATGAAAACATTTCAGTTTTTGCGGAAACTATACTTAGTTATGGAATGAACATTATACCATCCAGCGATAGGATTATGAAAAACAATTTTCGTAAGTATGTTTTATAATTACACACGGCTTATCACTATAGCTTTCCACTCTCAGTGTGCACACTACATCCCAAACGTAGTAACCAATTGCAGTTAGATGACTAGTTTCACATTTTAGGGTCAAACCTTCGTCATTTTTGTATGTACAAGAATTCTATGACAAAATAGTTATTTCCTGATGTATGGCATTGAAGATGATAAAACTTGTATCAGGTATTTAATCAAACACCGAGTTGGAAAGTACTGTACACAACTTTGGTACAAAAATAAATCATCTGGATACCAAATGGATATCATGTGGATACCAAATGATATCACCTGGATATCATGTGAATGACTGATACCATGCTGCTTTTTATTTGAAAAGCGCCCTCTGTCATTTCTTTCATAAAAAGTCAATATCGAATTATGTGTGCAATATTTCTGTTTCCCAAGATGCATTTGATTTACCTATCTAGTGACTAGCAAGGATTTATTAAACATATTTCTCACTTCTTTAAATTCTTTAAAGTCCTCCAAAGTAAAGTATCCTCAATGGCTGCTTTGCTAACTCAAACAATCAGTCAAAATTTACTGCGGACGTACTCAGCCATGAGGGTCAAGTCAGTTTTTCTACATAGGAACAGAATTCATCTCCAAATATTTTTCTACTTGCTTCTCTTGCATTGCATCATTTCTCA